CCCCCATTAGGGCAGGTTAGCCAGCCCCTACCTGTGCACTGGGCCTCTATCTATATAATAAAAAGATAATATGCAAATTGACCCTAATGGTGAAACTACTGCTCAACCAGTCACTATGAGGTGCACTGACCACCTTCTAGGTCCCTTTCCCTGGCCGGCAGGCTCTGATCACCCGGTGGCAAATGGGAAACGGGGGGTGGGTGGTGGGGGTTGTGGGAGGTGCCAGGCCAAGGCCTCCACCCTGGCAGTTACCCCACATACAGAGGGTGACCCACAGTGGGGTTGGGGCCACCGAGCGAGGGGGAATGGCTGACCTCTCAGTCCCTCCTCCTAACTAGCAGGCTCCAATCACCTGATGGAGAACAGGGAACTGGGGATAGATGGCAGCGGGGGGAGGAGGCAGAGCTGGTTGCAAGCAGCCTGAGAAGATGGCCCTGATTGTAGACCAGACCTAGGGACCTGTGCAAAAATTTCTGTTATAAAAATAGCAGTCCTCTAGTACTGTTATAAAATAGTAGACTCTTACCCCATTTCTCCTACTTACTAGTTATGTGACCATGAGCTTCCCCATAACTTCCTCTGCATAATGCATGCTACAAGGTTTGAGGAATATGATGGTAATAGACATTCACCTCAATGTGGAGGTTCCCCAACTCCTACCTCCAGATCTTCCCAACATTCAATAGGTGCCAAATGTCATCGCTCTGTCTCCTTTGTGCCCTACAATCTCCCTCCATTGTCTGGCTGGGGCCAGCAGCTTGGGGGAGGGTCCGAGGGAGATTGGCTGTGGGAGTGCAGTGACCACCAGGGGGCAGCTCCTGTGTTTAGCATTTGACCCCTTATGGTCAGTGCACATCATAGCAACCGGTCAGCCAGTCATTTGGTCACTTAGATTCTTATATGTATGGACTAGAGGCCCGGTGCACTAATTTGTGCACAGGTGAGGTGCCTAGGCTTGGCCAGGGATGAGAGCTGATCAGAGCCAGGCTAATTGGGGCCTGCTGTCCAGAGGGAGGGATAGAGCATGGTAGGTTGGCCTCCAGCTCCAAGGAGGGAGCTAGCCCTTCGACCCCTGGAAAGGGGGCTGCATTTGCTGACACCCATTCCCAGTTCACTGTTCCAGCCTGGGGCCTGAAGGCCCCAGTGGGATAGAAGAGGAAACAATGGTCACCAGGCACAGAAGGAATGGATGCCGGAAACAGTCATCAGCTTACACCAGCACCCTGTGGTTCCCTGCCTCACCCCCTCCTCCTTCCCTCATCACAGCATTGCCACCACAGCGAATGGGTGGAAAGCTAATTGGGGCCTGCTGGCCGGAGGGAGGAATAAGTATAGGAGGTTGGCCGTCAGCCCTAAGGAGGGAGCTGACCTTCAGCCCCCCGGGAAAGAGGCCACAGTCACCACTTCCCACCCCCGGTTCCCCATCCCAGCCCAGGTTCAAAGGCCCCAGTGGGGTTAGGAGAGGAGGCTACGGTCGCTGGGCCAGGGGCAGAAGAAATGGATGCTGGATGCCAACCTCTCCAGCCGAACACGGGAGGTTGGCTGTGGTAGCACACTGACCACCAGGGAGCAGCTCCTGCGTTGAGTGTCTGCCCCCTGATAGTCAGTTTGCATTATAATGATTGGTAGATCGGTTGTTTTTATTGTTCAGTTGTAATGGTTTCTTACACTTTTATATATATAGATGTATATTAAAAAGCATAGTAAATGTTTACTAGAGCACCAATCCTAGTACTGGCGTAAAGTGGTGAATGAGAGCATTTTTATTCCTGCTGGGGATGACCTGTCATCTAAGTCCTATCTATCTTGACCCCTTTGGACTTCTCCACCATCACTTCTAGACATATTTCTTTCTCAGAATCTCTCACCAGTTACCCCAGTTAATTTCCTACTTCTCAGACACACAGGATGCAATTACTCTCCCTCTCTATCTTCAGCTTACTCTGTTCACTGTACTTTGGAATGTTGTTGAAATTGGTTTTGTTTATTGGAGTCCTATTCCTTTTCTCAATCCCAATTAATCTTCTGCATGTTACATGAAACTTTTGCATACCCTTAACCTAATTAAGTCACTCATTTCCCATATCAATATTCTTCTATTTGTAATAGGAGCTAATTTAACTTGGTTAAAACCCTTCACCTGTGAATATAAGTCTAACCATCTAAGGATGTGATCCTTCTTTCCAGTCTTATCTCTCTCTACTCCCTCACACACCTCTAGTAGTTCCCAGAATACATAGTACTATCTCGTCTTTGTTGCGCAAGAAATAAAAGAGAGGTGTTTATACCATACCACCATTTTTTCTGGGTTCTATGAAGCCTGCTTGAGTCTCCTAATTATCCTCGGTGACTCTGAATCACATTCCCTTATTCTGCATCTGTCATAGTTATTATCACACTGATTGTAACATTTTTAAAACTGCTTTTATTAAATACTAGAGGTCTGGTGCATAAAATTTGTGCACAGGGAGGGGAGCCCTCAGCCTAGCCTGCATCCTCTCCAATCCAGGATTCTTGAGGGATGTCCAACTGGTGGTTAGGAGGCAGCGGTCCCAGATTGCGAGAGGGTGTCCAACTGCCGGTTTAGTGGACTGGGCCTAAACTGGCAGTTGGACATCCTCTCGCAATCTGGGACCGCTGCCTCCTAACCGCTAGCCTGCCTGCCTGATCACCCATAACCACTTCTGCCTGCCAGCCAGATGCCCATAAATGCTCCCCGGCTGGCCTGATCACCCCTTAACTGCTCCCCTGCCAACCTAACTACCCCCAAACTGTTCCCCTGCTGACTTAATCTCCCCCAAACTGCTGGCCTGATTGCCCCCCTAACTGCTCTCCCCAGCCGGCCGATTGCCCCCTAACTGCTCTCCCCTGCCGGCCTGATTGCCCCCTAACTGCCCTCCCCTGCGAGCTTGATTACCCCTAACTGCTTTCCCCTCCTGGCTTAATCATTCCTAACTGCCTCTGCCTTGGCCCTGCCACAGTGGCTTTGACTGAAGGATGTCTGGTCTAATTAGCATATTACCCTTTTATTAGTATAGATTGAATAGTAGAAAATGTATAAGGTATGATGAATGGCATATTACTTATTTTAAGAAATAGAATGTTTATTATTGTTAAAAATAAAACAAAAAAATAAACATGTACACCAGGAGTTAGTCCTATTCAGTGCCCTTCTCCACCCCCAGAGGTAACTGTTCTGAGTTTCATGTTTTCATTTTCTTGATTTTATTTATAGTCTTAACTAGTGTTTTTCTTTTTAAAATTTGATGTAAATAAAATCATACTGTTTGAAATTTTCTGCAACTTTATTACTTGTCTCTTAGTGTATATTGAGAAAGTTCATTCAGATTGTGAATTTATCCTACTATATAGCCATTTATTGTATAAATATACATTTTTCTTTTATATTCATGTGGACTTTTTGAACTTATTTCTTGGTATCATATATAAGGATTTTCTCTAGATATATAACTAGAAATAGAGTTGTTGGGTCATAGGGTATATGCATCTTTAACCTTCCTGACACTGCTCAGTTGCTTTCCAGTGTTTATACCCATTTAAAAATCCTGTTACTTCATATCCTTATTAACACTTGGTATTGTCAGACTTTTATATTTTCAGTCAGTTGGTGGGTATGAATTGATATATTATTCTGATTTTAAATTTGCATATTTTGGTACTAAATGAGGTTGAGCCCTCTTCCATGCTTTTGTCAGAATTGAAGGGGTTCCTGCCTCTATTCAACAGAAGTCAAGAGAGGAGGTGGGCTGAAACCGGTTTGGCTCAGTGGTAGAGCGTCGGTCTGCAGACTGAAAGGTCCCAGGTTCGATTCTGGTCAAGGGCATGCATGTTGGTTGCGGGCACATCCCCAGTAGGGGGTGTGCAAGAGGCAGCTGGTTGATGGTTCTCTCTCATCGACGTTTCTAGCTCTCTATCTCTCTCCCTTCCTCTCTGTAAAAAATAAATATATTAAAAGAGAGAGAGAGAGAGAGAGAGAGAGAGAGAGAGAGAGAGAGGAGGTGAAACAAGTTCAAAAGAAGTGTTTTATTGAAAGCAAGATGGAGGGAAAGGAGACGGGGGATTCTTGATGCATCAAGAAAGCACACACTAATGAAGAGTATGGCTCCACAAACTGTACCTGCATGAAGAATCCAGCCCTATATAAGCCAGACTCTGCAAAATGAATACCTAAACATTTGTTGTAGAACAGGGGGATGCAGGACAGCAGCCTTTGGTAGCATAATTTTTTATAATAAGGAAAAGTGATTAGGATTAATTTTCTGGCATATTTCTGAGCTTGAGTTTTGACTATATGATTAAGTCACTAAGTTATATTTAAATTCAATTTCAGAAATAGAAGTTTTATAAGATATTTTTTAATAATTCAGACTTATAAAAAATTTACTGGGAGAAGGGAAGGATATGATCAAGTGTTATGTGCTGAAGATAGATTGTGCTGTGTACTTCAGTATAGTTTTACTTAGTTGGGAAACACCAATTATCTGGCCTTTGTTTATTCCCAGACCTGAGTGGCTAATGGAAGAGGATAATGACAAGAGGTAACATTTATAGTTGCAGGCATGTTTAAGAATGATATATGCACCAGAGCGTCGGTCTGCAGACCGAAAGGTCCCAGGTTCAATTCCGGTCAAGGGCATGTACATTAGTTGCGGGCACATCCCCGGTAGGGGGTGTGCAGGAGGCAGCTGATTGATGATTCTCTCTCATTGATGTTTCTGGCTCTCTATCCCTCTCTCTTTCTCTCTGTAAGAAATCAATAAAATATATTTAAAAAAAAAAATGATATATGCACCAAGAATAATTGTGTTCTCTGATCACTCTTGTTTCTACACTGACCCATTCATGTTGAAGAGTCCAGCATAGCCTATTTTCCCAAGCAATTTCCTTACTGAATTGCTTTCTCCATTTTCTTTTATTCTATTATAAGGTTTTGTCCATTAATATCCCAAATAGTACAATATATTTATCTCTGGTTACAGGGTCTGAAGTTTGAAGATGTGGCCATTTTCTTCTCTCAAAAGGAATGGGAATGCTTGCACTCTACCCAAAAGGATTTGTACCGAGATATAATGTTGGAAAATTATAACAACCTGATCTCACTGGGTAAATTTATCTGCCCCTCAAAATTCAGAATTGGCCTTCTGGAATTTTTATGTTCTTTGCTATCAATTTCTTGTGAGTGCTTTTTCAAGTGTCTGGCTGAATTAATGACTCTTGCTTACCAAAGAATAGTTGTTTCTTGCGAACTTAAAACTTGACTGCTCCATTTTACAACTCTATCTTTCTTATTCCTCTGACTTTCACCCTTAAACTACTTACTCTTCTTTCTTGATAATCATAGATTAATTTTAATTCTGGGACAACCATAACATCCTTTTTTTTTTTTTTTACCTTGAGCAGGACTTTCTGATTCTAAGCCAGATGTGATCTCCTTATTGGAACAGGGGAAAGAACCCTGGATTGTTAAAAAGAAGGAGGCAAAAGAATGGTGCCCAGGTGAGTGATGGTGACTTGTATGGAGAAGGCCATGGTAGGTGGGACTGTGAGAAGGCAGCACTTCTAAGATGTTCGGAGGAAAGCTCCCTGCAAAGGATTGAGATCTGGAACACAAAGTAAGGATGTATCAAAATGAGGCCTCTAATTTTTACTTCACTTAATACTCTATTGCTATCCTTCCTCATATTTCCCTCTGATTTCATGAAGGAAGTGCCTTCCTCCTTCCCAAGGATAATCATTTCCCCTATGCTTTGGGTCCAGTTTTATCCTGACATATTTTATTTATGTTTTTGTTTTGTTTTGTTTTGTTTTTTTTTAAGTCATCACCTGAGGATTTTTTTAAAAAATTGATTTTAGAGAGAGAGGAAGGGAAAGGGAGAAAAACAGAAACATCAATGTGAGAAACTACCCTCCCTACACACCCAAACCAGGGATCAAATCTGCAGCCTAGGTAATGGCCCTGACTAGGAATTGAATCTGCAACCTTTCAGTGTCTAGGACAACACACAAACCAACTGAGCCACATCAGCCAGGACTAACCTGACTTTAAAATTTTATTATGTTTTTATTGATTTCAGAGAGAGGAAGGGAGGGGGAGAGAGATGGAATCACCAGTGATAAGACAGAATCGTTGATCAGCAGCTTCCTGCACAGCCTTTACTGAGATTGAGCCTGCAACCCATTCATGTGCCCTTACTGGGAATTGAACTGTGACCTCCTGGTTCATAGGTTAATGCTCAACCACTGAGCCACACCAGGTAGGCTATCCAGGCTTTTTAAAACATCATAGGGATATAATGCTATTTGTGATTCTGTAAAATTCACTTGTTTAAAGTAATTCATCAATTTTTAGTATATTCACAGAGTTTTGCAACTGGCACAACAATGTTAACTGTAGAACATTTCCATCACCCCAAATTAAACCCTATACCTGTTAGTAGTCACTCCCCACACCCAGACCTAGGCCACCACCAATCATCTTATAACCCTCTTTATTTCTATAAAGTTGGTAGGGATATCTCCTTTTCTATTTCTGATATTAATATGAGTTGTTGTATTTTCATTTTCATTTGTTTCCAGGAAGTTTTTTATTTCTTTCTTGATCTCTTTGGTAACCCATTTATTGTTTAATAATATGCTACTTAGCCTCCATGTGTTTGAATGTTTTGGGGTGTTTTTAATATAATTGATTTCTAATTTTATTCCATTGTGATTTGAGAAGGTACTTGATATGATTTCAGTCTTCTTGAATTTGAAGAGACTTATTTTGTGTCCTAACGTGGTCTATGTCTATGAATGCTCTACTTGAGGAGAATGTATATTCTTCAGCTTTGGGGTGAAATATTCTGAGGATTTTTTTAAAAATTGATTTTAGAGAGAGAGGAAGGGAAAAGGAGAGAAACAGAAACATCAATGTGAGAAACATAAATGTCAATTAAATCCATATGCTCAGTGTGTCTTTTAGAATCACTATTTCTTTGTTAATTTTTTGTCTGCAAGATCTATCCAGTGAAGTCAGCAAGGTGTTAAAATCTAGGTACTTACTTATTACCATTTTAATTTTGTATGCCTAGGTTTTCCTCTCTATTTCTTCTTATTATTAAACAGACCCTTTAGCATTTCTTGTAATGCTGGCTTGGTGGTGATGAACTTCTTTAGCCTTCTTTATCTCATCATTTATTTTGAATGATAGTCTTGTTGGATATAGTACTATTGGTTTCAGATCCTTGTTTTCCATTACCTTGAGTATTCCATGACATTTCTATTGGCCTATAGAGTTTCTGATGAGAAATCAGGTGTCAGCATATGGGAGCTCTGTTGTAGGTACTAAATTGCTTTTCTCTTGCTGCCTTTAATATTCTTTTTCTTTAAATTTTTGCATTTTAATTATGATGTGTCTAGATGTGGTCCTGTTTGGGTTCTTCTTCCTTGGGACTCTGAGCCTCCTGAACTTGTGTGACACTTTTCTTAACCAGGTTAGGGAAGTTTTCTGCCATTATTTCTTTAAATACATTCTTTCTCTTTTTTTCCCTTTCTTCTCCTTCTGGGATACTGAAAATGTGAATATTGTTATGATTCATGTTCTTCCAAGCCCCTTTACACTGTCCTATTTTTTGTTTTGTTTTTGAGTTATTATATGTGTACATATCTTACCATTATCCCCCCAACCCACTCCCATACATGCCCTCACCTCCCAGTGTTTTGCATCCATTGATTATGCATGCTAACAAGTTCTTTGATTGATCTCTTATCTCCCCCACCTCTCCCTAACCTTCCTGCTATAATTTGGCAGTCTGTTTGATGCTTTACTGTCTCTGTATCTATCTTTTTGTTCATCAATTTATAATGTTCTTTATTATCCATAAATAAGTGAAATCATGTGGTATTTTCTTTAATTGATTGGCTTATTTCACTTAGCATAATGTTCTCCAGTTCCATCCAGGTTACTGTAAAGGGTAAGAATTCATTCTTTTTATGGAAGCATAGTATTCCATTGTACAGATGTACCATACTTTTCTGATCCAGTCATCTGTTGATGGGCACCTAGGCTGCTTCCAAATCTTAGCTATTGTAAATTGTGCTGCTATGAACATAAGGGTGCATATATCCTTTCTTGTTGATGTTTCCAGTTTTTTAGGATATATTCCTAGAAGTGGAATTACTGGGTCAAATGGGAGTTCCATTTTTAGTTTATTGAGGAAACTCCATACTGTTCTCCACAGTGGCTACACCATTCTGCATTCCCACCAGCAGTGCATGAGGGTTCTTTTTTCTCCACATCCTTGCCAACACTTGTCGTTTTTTGATTTCTTGATGATAGTCACTGTGACAAGTGTGAGATGGAACCGCATTGTTGTTTTGATATGCATCTCTCTAATAATTAGGGACTTTGAGCATGTTTTCATGTGTCTCTTAGTCTTCCTTCTGTCTTTTTTCGAAAAGATTCTATTTAGGCCCATTGCCCATTTTTTATTGGATCATTTATCTTCCTTTTATTAAATTGTATAACTTGCCTGTAGATGTTGGAGATTAAACCTTTATCAGTGGTAACATTTGCAAATATGTTCTCCCATACAGTGGCGTTTCTTATTGTTCTGTTGATGGTTTCTTTTTTTTTTTTTTCTTTTTTTTAATATATTTTATTGATTTTTTTTGCCCCCCCTCCCTCCCATACATACCCTCCCTTCCCAGAGTTTTATGTCCATTGGTTGTACTTATATGCATGTATACAAGTCCTTCAGTTGATCTATTATCTCCCCCAAATCTCCCTCCACTCCCCACTGTAATTTGACAGTCTGCTTATTGCTTTACTGTCTCTATATCTATCTTTTGGTTCATCGGTTTATAATGTTCTTTATTATCCATAAATGAGTGAGGTCATGTGGTGTTTCTCTTTCATTGATTGGCTTATTTCACTCAGCATGATATTCTCCAGTTCCATCCAGGTTGCTGCAAATGATAAGAATTCCTTCTTTTTTATGGCAGCATAGTATTCCATTGTGTAGATGTACCATAATTTTTTGATCCAATCATCTGCTGACGGGCACCTAGGCTGTTTCCAAATTCTGGCTATTGTAGATTGTGCTGCTATGAACATAGGGGTGCATATATCCTTTCTGATTGGTGTTTCTAGTTTCTTGGGATATATTCCTAGGAGTGGGATTACTGGGTCAAATGGGAGTTCCATTTTCAGTTTTTTGAGGAAACTCCATACTGTTCTCCACAGTGGTTGCACCAGTCTGCATTCCCACTAGCAGTGCAAGAGGGTTCCTTTTTCTCCACAACCTCGCCAACACTTGTCGTTTATTGATTTGTTGATGTTGGCTGTTCTGACAGGTGTGAGATGGTACAGCATTGTTGTTTTGATTTGCATCTCTCGGATAATTAGTGACTTTGAGCATGTTTTCATGTGTCTTTTGGCCTCCCTTCTGTCTTCTTTTGAAAATATTCTATTTAGGTCCATTGCCTATTTTTTAATTGGATCATTCATCTTCCTTTTGTTTAGTTGTATAAGCTGTCTGTAGATGTTGGAGATTAAACCTTTATCAGTGGTAACATTTGCAAATATGTTCTCCCACACAGTGGGCTTTCTTGTTGTTTTGTTGATGGTTTCTTTTGCTGTAAAAAAGCTTTTTATTTTGATGAAGTCCCATTTGTTTATTTTCTCTTTAGCTTCCATTGCCCTAGGGGTAGTATCAGTGAAGAAGTTCTTTTGGCATATGTTTGAGATTTTGCTGCCCATGGATGCTTATAGTATTTTTATGGTTGCCCATCTAATGATTAAGTCCTGTATTTATATTGAGTTTATTTTTGTGTATGGTGTAAGTTGGTGATCTAGTTTCATTCTTTTGCATGTATCTGTCCAATTTTCCCAACACCATTTATTGAAGAGACTGTCTTGACTCCATTGTATATTTCTGCCTCCTTTATCAAATATTAATTGAGCATAGTGATTTGGGTTGATATCTGGGTTCTTGATTCTATTTCATTTATCTATATGTCTATTCTTATATCAGTACCAGGTTGTTTTGAGAACAGTGGCTTTGTAATACAATTTGAAGTCTGGTATTGAGATCCCTCCTACTTTACTCTTCTTTCTCAGGATTGCTGTGGCTATTCGGGGTCTTTTATTGTTCCAAATGAACTTTTGGAGAGTTCTTTATAGTTCAGTGAAATATGCCGTTGGTATTTTAATGGGGAGTGCATTGAACCTATAGATTGCTTTAGGAAGTATGGACATTTTGATGATGTTGATTCTACCAATCCATAAACATGGTATTTTCTTCCATCTGTTTACATCTTCCTCTACCTCTTTTTTCAGTGTCATGTAGTTTTCCGCATATAGGTCCTTTACTTCCTTAGTTAAATTTATTCCTAGGTATCTTAATTTTTTTGGTGCGATGGTAAATGGAATTGCTTTTTTAGTCTCTGCTTCTGAAATTTCACTGTTGGTGTATAGAAATGCCATGGATTTCTTGGTGTTAATTTTGTATCCTGCT